TACTTGACAGTGTAATAATATACAAGGGGTGATATATTTTCGTCGTTTTTTCTCACGAAATGTAATAATCGTTACGGCTATTCTATCGTTTGGGAAAAAATCCGTGTAATCTTAGCTACGGAGAAAACGAATAAGTACAAAACCGTTGCTGTAAAAAATTGTTTTAACTTCGAAAACTCGAGTTCGGCAACTATTTACATCGGTTTTTTACACAATCAAAGGAGTGATTTATAAATAATAACAATGCAGCGATAAGCGAAAAAAAATACGTGTACGCAGCGTTTAAGAGAGGTATTTTTTTCGAATTGCTCTGACTTTTCCAAAGACTTTGACTGTAAAAGTGTGCGAACTCTAGCATACTATTTCGTTGCCCGCCGAGAATTCGATTTATTCGCGATTCCTTTGAGGCTATTGTTCTTCTATAATAGCAGAAGCAGCAGCGGCAGCAGAGAAAAAGGTTTTCCGTTCGGTTCAGCGATGCCTTTTTTTACGTTACGTTCACGAGTGCAAAAGCTCGTGTGGCCCGTTTCATTCAGAGAATATGTGTGCGCATGCACGCGCAGGCCATGTTTTTTGGGACGAATATTTGACATATATTGCTCGGCGTGCATATACACGAGCCGGAGCATGACGAGTGAGCAAGAAAAATGCGACTCGCGCTCGTATTTTTCTCTAGTTTTTCCGATGATTCAATCATTTGAAATGTGGGACACTTTTCAATCAACCGAACATTCTCTTTGCATCTCATAATTTCTGAATACATGAGAAAAATGCAGATGTGTCATAATTTTGTTAAATCAAAATTTTTATCGTCATTTTGTGAGAAATCGGGAAAAAAGATTAAAGGTCGTATTTAACGTGTTACAAATTCTTAACATGGTTTAATGACTAAAACATGGTAAAGAAAAACCTTTTACTATATAACTATTAATGTGTTTGTTTTCAGCCATTTTTCTGTAAGAATTATGTTACAAATATCAAGATTATTTTACATGACCTGAAACTGATAGTCGAACTGTTTCAAAAATTTTAGACCAGTTTTCAACCTCTTTAAGTCTCCACCACTAGATGGCGACATACCTATATCGGTAAATCTACAATTGGCCAAGTCTAAATATTTGTACAAATCCGAACGAATTGGCAGTGTCCCTACTTGTAATGTTCCCTTTCTGGTAATTTTCATAAATTTCATATAGTCAAAACATGGTCGGTAAGTAGCTAAGAAACATGGAGCATTATGCATCTATGAAACAAAGCTACTTTTTTTCGTGTATATTCAACTCTAATGGTCCGTTTATATCCAAGAAATTTTTTAGATGTCCAAAAAATAGCTATAAAATGTTGAGAATTTCTACAAGGCTTTTCAAGATACCTAAAAGAGCGCAAACAAAGACAGCTGTCTAGCTGGATACCATAAAAGCTATCTCCATCATCACTCACGAACACAGCCAAATGGTCATTCGCTTTCGCACTTGCAATGCAACTTATTAATAGACGACTAACAGTAGTCAGAAGTGTGTAGAGTTTGTTTTAGCAGTGACTCGTGGCTATCATCTAGCTAAGTAAGATATTATACGTGTACTTATTTAATTTAAAAAACTTTCAACATTATTATTGCTTAAGAGCTACTACGGTCCAACTCAATGAATCAGCCACTAAAATGCCTGCGTTTATGTTTACAACTTTCTGTTTATTGCTATTTGAGCAAAAGCGTGAGCATCGTCAAGCGTAACAAAAAGTCGTATAATATCTTGCGTGTCTTGTCTTTGTATGCATGGAGGAAAAACAGCAACAACAAAAAATCTGTCGTTGCCTGATAAGCAGCGTGACGCGTATTCGACTCGGCCGTATGAACTGCTGATTTATCCGCTGTTCGTCGATAAATATTCACTCTAGTGATCTTTCTTCTTCCTCTCTGCCTCGTCTACTCCCCTGCAGGCTTTTTGAAGTTGCAGAAAACGATACTTATCTCTTTTACATTTACGGTTGAAAGAGAAAGAAAGAGGTAAGCAGGTGGTTCGAAGCATCTTTCTCTCTCCCTCTCTTTCTCGCTCTTTGCGCCGCGTCGTCGATAGGCAAAAGCGATACTTGTATCGAAGGAGGCACTGTTAGTATATTTATCTGATTGGCTCGGGAGTGCACGTTTTGCTCTCTCCTCTCTCTCTCTCTCTATTTTTCCGACACCCCTTGAATGGTCTCGTTAACGAACAGATAAGATGACTTCTCGCAGCACTACTGGTTGCGTTGTTGTTTTTCTCTCTCTCTCTCTCTCTCTCTCCTATTCTCGCAATATACATAAGTTCCATTCCTCGTCATATGCCACGTGATCGAATGTGACAAGACTCTCTCTTTTGATACCATAAGAATATTGTGTGCACAGTGCGCAGGTAAGTGCATTAAAAGCGGCAAGGTTCGAGATCTTGGTTCGTCTGCGAAGCTAAAAGGTTGGCATCAGCTCACGTGTTAGTGTATGTCTGTGTACGTATACGTATATAGCCCGATGCAAACGGACAACATGTTAAACTGGTTCGCGCAGCGCGTGTGAAATACATACATACGTATATATATAGAGTCTGGTATCTCGGTCTTGTAAAGGAGCGTTTAATTAAATACCGATGGGCGCGAGCGTGAAGAAAAACGTTTATAATGCACTTGAGAGAGAACGAGAGGCCCGGAGTGAGTATACGTCGTACGTGCGAGTAGTGCGCGAGTGAGCTCGCACATGCGGCCTCAGCAGCAGTGAATGTTTTATTTATTTTCGCAGCTCGAGAGCGAGAGAGCTCCAGAAAACCTCGCAGAGATAATACATTGTCTCGTAATACTGAATATTTTTGCGATCCGATAAGAAAATTACCCTAAGGACTTCATTGCTGGTTTTTTTGCAAGCATGTGTGGCAAGTATGTGTGTGCGTGTGTCTGCGTATTGCTGTTTCAATGTTCTTTGCTCTCTTATCGTCAAGTCCGATCGTAATTGCCGTGCGCGTCAACGTGTATGGCTGCTGCTGCTTTATGTTAACTCTTTGAGCATTTTTCTTTCATAACTCGAGTACACTTCAGTCGTGTGTCCGTATTATCGCTAAGATGCTCTTTTTTCACATTTACCCGGGAAGCAAATTTTCGTTTATTTGATAGTGAAAGTTTTATAATGTTACTGGCCCTCTGGCTTTCGACGAGAGATTTGATTGAAACGTGAGCTGTGATGAAAATGTATTTACATGATTATTTTACGCAATAATCAGTTACGTAGTGATCAACCGACTCCTTGATTAACTTCTTTTTGTCGAATCATTCTCTAGTAGATTTAATTCTCTAAGGAGTAACTAAACAAAGATCTAAATTTTAAAAATAAAAAACAAGACGATCGATGAACTGAAAAATATAAAATAAAAAGATTTCCAAGATCATCATCCAAGAGTAGTTTTCACCCGAGCGTAGCGAGGGTGCAAAGACTCCTGGGTGAGTCAACTTCCTCGCGGACTAGTTGCAAACGATATTTTTTAACTCTGCTTGCGAGAAACTAGGGTTTTCTGACGCTTTAAGGTTAGAAAACCCGTGTTTCGCGCACGCAGTGTTAAAAAATATCGTTTGCAACTAGTCCACGAGGAAGTTGACTCACCCAGGAGTCTTTGAGTCAAATGCTTCGCGCACTTGTTACAAAATATACTATTCTTTAATGATGATGAATAACATGCGATTAATACAAACTAGAACACAAATTACTTAGCGGTAACTGGTCGAATCCAATGCAGTATACGTATGCGAATTAAAGGGGCGAACTATCTGTTAGCGCAATCTTTAAAATTACGGAGAAAATTGGCAGTACCAATGCCACGATCACTTCTCGAGAGGCGAATATCAGCTCTCCTTGTGAAAATAAAAACAAAAAAGGAAAAATTAAAGCAATACTCTTGTAGACGTACGCAGACTGGATAATCAGATCGTCGTGGAATTCGATCCTCAGCTCGAGTCTCTCTGGGTGCAGTGATCCAGACGAACGGCAATCATTTCACACGAAGTTCATACTTGAATGATATAACTCAAACGCACACGGCGCGCGTCTGCTGCTCTCCGATACTTTTCGCAGCGAAAATTAAAAAAGTCCACGATATTATACGTGCGTCTATATATACACACATACACGTGTAAAACGCACTGCCCGATCTCCGACTTGCGCGTGTAAGCTTCAATTTTCGATACAGTTATAAACAGCGGATAAAATCAATATATAATTTCACGTAGCCAGACTTACGGCGCGTGCTGTGAACAGAGCCGAGAAATCGTGTGTGCCTCGGACGCAAATTTCAATATTAATTTTTTACAAACTCGCTTTGCGTAGAGCTTGTAAGTGTGTGTAATGTAACAATGGTCAGGCACTCACAGCACAATTGATATACATTATGTGTTGGGCGAGCGGCCAAGCGCATATAATTTCGACCCTCTCAACTTTTATATACGAACATACAGATACACGTTACGGCGCCACGGTGTTGCTTTTGACGCCTCCAGAGGTGAGAGAAAAGATGCACCTACAGCGCCCGCTCAGAGATACCGTAGGTAGGTCAGATGTGAGGATTCAAGCCCCTTTTAAGAGACATAATCAAAACGCCGATCAACAACAATTCACGTTATAATTATCAACGAAAAAATATCGATAATAAATAAAATATGATTATTTTCAAACAATGCAATCTGCGTCATAATTTATATTGCGTTCTTTGTGAAATTGTATTTGACTTATTATAAAAGTAAATATCATTTAAATTCATTTTAGTTATGTTATTTTTGAAATTCTTGTTTTATCTTTTGAGAAAAATGTATTAGTCTATGGAAGAAGAAAACGACACTTGAAAAAAGTGTCTATCTGTGACGTGTTAAAATCGTGACGCATAAAAATACATTTTTTTCTTACATGATATGAATTTACGTATGCATAGAAATTGTGCGTCAGACATAAGCTTTTAAACAAATAAATATCACAATGCATAAAGCTCTTAGCAGTACAGAAGTAAAGGTTAAAAACTGCTGTTAACGTACAGAATTCAGCTATGAAAATTACTACGGCTGTAAGTTGACACAGTAATGTTTATGATTATATTTATAATACGCTCTTTCTATTTTTTCTATGTATCACTTTTACTTTAGGTTAAATCTTTGCTGATCATTGGTGTGGTGAAGTTTTCTCAATCTCAACCAGTTCCATCTGATCAACCTGAACAAGCAAATGGATTTTCTGTAAATTATTCCCGTCCAGCTATAGTTCTTCCTACGTTGCAAGCATCTGTATCCAGCAACTCATTTGCACCTAACACTACGCAACAAGTGCAAAATTACGGATTGTCAGTTGGAGGTACACCAATATTGGGTAGTCGATCAGCTCAATTGAAATTGGGTTCTTTATTAACTGGAAATCAACCTGTAAAACCAGATCAACAGAGTGTCTCTTACGAAACAAAACAAGAAGTGCCTCAAGAACAAACTCATGTAGTGAACAATCAGGTTATAAAGCAAAATTCACCGATTAATAATTATGAAGAAAAAGTCTCTGTTGGACAAGCACAATTTGCAGAACCCCAAAGTAATCAGGTAGCAAATGTAAATAAGGTGGTAGAAAACGTTCTACCTGTTAATTATGAAAAAAAAATTTCCGTTGGACAAACACAATATCATGAACCACAAAATAACCAGTTGGTAACAAATGTAAAAAAGGTCGTAGAAAACATTTCCCCTGTTAAACATTTAGAAAAAATCTCCGTTGGACAAGCACAATTTGCAGAACCTCAAATTAATCAGCAGGTAACAAATGTAAAAAAGGTGGTAGAAAACATTTCACCTGTTAAACATGTAGAAAAAGTGTCCGTTGGACAAGCACAAGCACAATATCGTGAACCACAGAATAACCATTTGGTGACAAATGTAAAAGAAATCGTAGAAAAAATTTCACCTGTTTCTACTAGTCATCATCAACAAGCTTCAACACACGCCCAACTACATCAACATAAGCAACCGCAAGTTAAATCACCCCAACAACCAAAATTATCAGCTCAACCTCAGCAGCCACAGCAGCCACACCCCGTGCAAGAAGTACACGTTCAAGTAGCAGCTCCATCATCTCAAAAACCTGAAAGATCATTATTAACAAAATTAGTCGGGCCACCGTCGATAGGAGTTAGAGCTGGAATTAATTTGAACTTTTCTTGATAGTTTAAAACATAATATTTAAAAATATTTTTAAGTTTATTGGATAATTATAAGAATATCAAATAAAATAAATTAAATTTCTTGTATTTTTGATTTCAATAATTGCAATTGAAAAAAAATTGGAAAAAATAAAACGCATTAAAAATTTTCTATTACTGTGATTTTCATTTTCTTTATATTTAATGGCGTCTTTTGAGCGTACTTGATGATTGCTGTAATTTAGACATGACAAGCCAGTCAAGTTGAAAAATGAAGTAGAAATAAACGTATAATCAGCACCAAATGTTACTTGACATCAATTATCTTCTTGAGGACGAGATAAAAAAATTAAAATATTTTCTCCAGTCCTTAAGCTGTAGCAAGCTATATTTAAAAAAAAATCGTGTACGCACACTTTATTGAATTTTATTACTAACTAGGAAATTAGAAAAGATATATTTTAGTTACTTTTTTGCCGAAGAGCATCGTATTTTAAACTAAAATAAATTATTATTCTTATATTATTTTTTGAGATAAAGAATTGCGTCAACATTAAATGTTAACTATCTTTCTTATTGTACCGATAAGAAAATAAGTGAATTATAATTCCGTTAAAAAATACAGATTATTCGGAATAACCACGTAGAAATCGAAAGTATAATTTTGACTAATAAGCTAGGATAATTGAGCGATCTCTTCGATTGTCTCTTCTTTTGCACCGGAGCTACGGTGGGGAAAATTGGCGCCTTCGATCTTTCCCTTCGATCGTTTCTCATAAGCATTATTGCCCTCGAGACAATTATATTCCAATCCATGACATTACGTCGAACAATCTATTATGCCTGCCAGTTTATTCTCTGCTTTTAAGCGCGCTGCCGTTATTTTCAGTCGCCGCGAGCATATTCAAGTCGGCGCCATTTACCGGGTCATTTCGATGCATGGACTTTTAATTTTCAGAAATGGCAGTTCATACGCCTACTGGTGGCTGCGTACGGAAGCAAATAACATTTTATTAGCACTGCCAATGTTAACCCGCTCAGATGAGACGCATTAGGCGGTACACGTCTGCGTGGTGGATTACCCAGTGTACCCTCATGCAGAGTCGCAATAGTTTTTACCTACTGTTATGGCATCAAATATGTTGCATGGTTTTCGCGCGCTTGATATATCATATTCACTCAGTATGCAGTAGCTCGACGATACTCATACATCAAAACTCTACAAATTTCTCGCAAAATTCAAACACCTTCGCGGCATGATTCTATTGTGAAATTGCATGTCACTGTCAGGGCGCATGCAAAGTCTTATAATCCTCGCTACTTGGTACCCATGCAATGAGGAGAAAAAAACCTCCTCCGACGAGAATATCGCTCAAAAACAAGATTAATGTTTACAACTGCATATAAGTCCTTGGAATTCCGCATAACGTTGCCGTGTGCATGTGTGTGTGCGTGTGTGCGCGCGCTGCGTCTGCCAGCACCTCCGCATCGCGCGCGTATGTGCGTAGCATTTCCGCGGTAGACTGCTCGCGGCGTATTATATGGACTCTCAAGCACGTCTTGGCGTCAACATTGCAGTCACATCAAAAATGCATCAAGTACTCTACGCGCACAGTCGTAGTTCTCTCTCTCTCTCTCTCCACCGTCGTGGAATAATTCGCTTCTCCGTGTACGTATAATATACAGTGGCTGCAAAAGCAGAGAGGGAGCAGTAACAAGCATCGACGAAACCCTTGAATTGAAAAATCGTCGAGACCACTTTATTTCCCGAGAGAGGAAGACAGACGCGAGGCAAAAAGATGCAATAGTTTGTGCACTGCATTGACCTCCCATGAAATCATTTTACGCGCATACTTTTACTAGTATAGTTGAAGTTGTAGAAAATACGGAACGGTAAATGTATCTGAATATTTTCTACGTTTATTAAAAAATATTATCCTCTACAAAATTCAAGATGAATCTGAGTGAAGGACAATTTAACGTCTTCTTCACCAAGGAGATCGTCTAACTATGAGCTTCAAAGTGAACTAACATAGGAAAGTACACATGCAAAGAGTCACGGAAAAAATTTTATACTGAGATACGTCTTTAAATTTTTTATTAAAAAGATTTTTTCATATTAAATTTTCGTTATTCTGAAAAAAGCTTCCAATTATAAAATCTAGCATTGGCAAGGTTTTCTCGTTTCAGCAAATATTATAGTCTAACGTTATGAAATTTCAAATCTCACTTTAAATTCAAATCTTTATAATTAGCATGATTGTTTCCAATGTAAAATCTAAAAATGTTTCACGCATCGGTTTGCCTCGCTTCGTAATTACGTACTTGAAACTTTCCACGAAGTCCCTTCGACAAAGTTTTGATACGGCTCAAATTATTACTCAATATTGAAGGGCCAATCAGCGTAAACACATTCAGGGAATTTACACGAACGCTCGGGAATCGTATTATGCGGTAAAGAAACCTTCAATTCCTACGGAATGTCAAGATTTTTTTGTAGTATACGAAAAAAATAAAAGCATACTCGGGAGCGCTCATTTTAGGAAGGGCAAAAATCGTTTCGGTACACGCGCGTTTTTTGTCCCTCCAAGAGCGCAAAAGCCTGTCATTAAGCTCTGTTTTCATTGCGGAGCCCTGCAGCAGGTATATATACGGACACAACATTGTCCGCTTAAAAATTTGCTCGGGTTAATTTTGAAGCGTTTATATACAACGGCAGCGCTTCTTTATTTATTTAAACACTTTTATTAAGTGCTGCCACTCTCGGCCAACCCAGTCATCATCGCGCACGCATGCATTTAGATGGCCATTTAATTCTACGGCGAGTGGTGCACTCAACGTTTTAGAGAGGGCTGAAGATGGGCTATGAAAATACCGAAATCGAAAGGTTTAGTTTATCTGCGCCAGAAATTACCGTTCGAGTCGCGATAAACGTCGAAAATTTTCAGCTAAATGTTTATACTGCTTTAAAAGTAACACCAGTTCGAGTTTTTCAACCTAGAAAGGATGAGTTTTGCCTCGCGATAAAGCATAAAAATAACCACAAAGTCTGGTAATTTTTATTTGAATAACACGATGTCCTGCGGTTACGGGCCGGTTATGAATAATTATTAGACAAGATGATGTAATAGCTCCTGCCGCTCGAGTCTAGATGAAACGCTTCTCTCAGCTTTAATAAAAAATCTTTTATTAAAATCAGCCTGACCTCATCTTTCACTTTGTATTTTTTCCTCACTGACGCGTAAGCGCGCCATAAGCTGATTAGTTTTTGATCGAGTTTTACTCTCCGTATTCTCATGTCAGTTTAGTTAAAGATACGAAATAATTTCGACTGATTTTTTCTCGGTATCAAAAATACATTTACGAAAGAAAATATTCATACAGCGTATCGAGAATGAAGTCAAACGTCAGTCTATCACTTTAGAAAAAAAAATTCAATCTAAAAATAAGAGAAATTCAAACACACAAAAAAAGAAGAAACAAAAAAATATTTGTGTTAAACATCTCACGGATTAAAAAGTAAAACATTCATATGATTTTCTTTATTCTGGAGATAGAATCAGACAATATAAGGCGCGTGAAGATCCGCGTATAATATATATAGGTATGAATATACGCATAGCAGAGAATGAGCCGCACATGGTGGGCGGGGAACTCATCGTCTAGACTATTTAGAAGAGGGATCTTTGCATTTTTTCGTACTGCTATATCTTCTCGTCCTTGCCTCGTATATAGCAGCTACCTCCCATCCCAGCGAGTGCCGGGAGAATGAAAAAATGTATACATGCGAAGGCTTGCATTGTCTGCTCTGCATCTTTTGATTAACAAAAAGAGAATAAGTAATAAATGTGGTAAGACTTCTAGTCTGTTTCTATGATATTTGATATTTTGTATTATTTTCAGTTTCCATAGCTAATAAATTTGAACCAAATCGAAAGAAAGTGAAATCAAATTATCTTGATTAATATTCCTTTAAAAATTATAATATTAAAATTGCAGCATATACAAGATGAGAAATGAATTGTAAAAAAGGAAATAAATATAAGCCAAAAATGCTCAAACGTTGTAGGGCTTAATCTTAGAGAAGCACGATTTGTACGAAACGAATATTACTAGGGCTTATAGTTGTAATGCCGATCGCTATCTCGGTCGAAAATCCCGTTTTTCCGGTCAATAAAGCACGAATATCCATCGACAGCTTCGATAAACGCGAATCAAATATTTGTGCAAAAAATAAAGTAATAATTGAAAACGGAAACGTAAATAGGTTTTTTTTCAACTCTTCCTGACTGGCTGTGATTCTCGTCCCGTTGCAACTGTATATCGGTTACACAAAACTAATTTGAGATAGTAAAGCGGACAAATCGTAGCATTGTGCGCCTGCAATAAAAACATATTTTATATATTGCTCTAGGTAGTGCGCGTAATTCGGGTAAAAATGTATGTGTGCGCCCTTTTTCTTCGTATATCAAGATGGGAATTCTGTTACAAGCTAAAATAGCCGCGTCTAAAAAGTAACGGCGGCAAAAGACTCGCTATCCGCTGAATTAATCTGTTGACTCGGGGCTTGTGTGTATATACATATATAATACGTGCGCGGTATATGCGAGAGTGAGAGACGGTGGCGATGGCGCATATATATGTAGGTGTATATAGGAGCTGCAGACGAGAGAAACCCCCTAATATAACATCGTTATCACGTCGGATTTTGCGGGTGTTCCTTTCGCCTTGTTTATGCAGTCGTAAACATCCGATTCTGAGGAGAGGCCGTTTGTCTTTTAACAAGCGCCTTCATTATGTGTTGGGATATATAATACGAGCGAGTCGCGAGCTTCAAGTTGCCTGGGCTCCGAGTGAGACGGAGCTTCTAAGCGAGAGAAGGAGACAATGCAAACTGCGATTTTCATCCGCGCCGTACACTTGTTTTATAATAATACACGCTCTCGCTTACTCCAGATAAGCTTATTATTTGACCCTCGAATAATGTGAAAGATAGTCATGGTGAATTGAGATTTTCTTGTTACTTTTTGTTGTGAATTACCTGATGTGCAAACACATGCTAACTTTTACTTT